GCATTACAATGAAACGGATCAAAAATAGAACGAAAATTGGAATTATTGAATAACATTTACCTCTTTTGAAATGCTGTCGCGCGCACTGAAACAATTGAAAAAATGCAATCTTTCAATTTTTTCATTGAAATAGCGCCAAAAATAGCAATAAAACGCGCTCCACGATGTCGATGTGCGTGCGTGCGTGCGTGCAATTGAGTGATGACTGGTGGTGTCCAGCATCAATGAACCAAATGTATATTGATGGTATGTGGATGTTCTCTCTCCCTCTGCGTATTGTTGTTATTTATTTCCACTCTATTTTCCGCATTGATTAGCATTCGTGAAATTCCCGTTTGCTTTCTTTCCATTTATTTTCACCATTTCGGTTTCGAATGGTCTCATTTTTCATCTCTCTTTTTGATTAATTCATTTTGGACTTTGCTTCGAATCACCATCAATCATTTCTATTCGTTTCTATCGGCATTAAATACAGACATTTTCAACATCATACCGAAGATCGGTTTAAAGCTTACACACATATCCATTGAGTAAGAGGTAGAGAGCGAACAACATCACGAAGAGAAAAAGAAAATTTCACTGACATAACATAAAACAGCAAACTCATAACCGGCTATTCTATCATCCGAACAACAGATCCGCTTGATTTGACGTTTATTTTTGTATTTTGCCATTACAATGACCAATGGCCAAAGAGAACGGACAGAAAAGTGGAGGGAAAAAAGCTACCAAACCGCATGAAAAACCTTCTCCATGGAAGTAACAGAAAAATTGTATACATACGGCCCTCAGATCGGCATACAGAGATCTAAAACAAATGCCCCGAAACATCGATCATCGTTTATGGATGAAGAAAAATATTAAGCTTATGGCTTAATACTGACCACACTGAGAGTCTTTTTATGAAATCCTGCATCTGATTTCAAAACTTGCTAAGTGAACATGATAAAAGATTCGACCATATGCTCATCGAAGGTTATCTAATTCCATGTTAACAGTTTAGAACCGATACATTTCGTGTGTTCAACAAATTAGTAATTTCGAAAGAAAAAGAAAAAGAAAAACAACAATAACAACGAACACTGAACACGATGCGATTTCTTTTCTCTGTTCTGATTCCGGAAGTTGAAAGAAAAAACGCAATTTGGTAGCAGGAGGGGATGAGGCATTGAGGCATACAGGAGGAGAGGAACAGAGAGTGAGATTGTTTGAGAGGGAGTTGTATTCAGTGAATCCAGATAAAGGTTATTTTCCATTTGAGTGCTTTTAATTTGCGTTATGTCTTAATTTTTATGCTGTTATTGATGTCTCACAGCTGGCAATGCTGCCGTTTTACTGGTTCTAATCTCAAAATGAAATGATGAATAAAACTGTGTAGCGGCGAGATAAGACCAAATTGACATGTGTACGTACGCTTTCGACGCACACACAACAATTTTTACCAAAATGTGTATTTAGATGCTAATCACTACTTTTATAATCATCGCTTATTTGCACGGTGGCGGTCATTGAGCACCAAGCCAGCGTGTCGATGTGTAAGTGTCAGGTATATTTCTGTCTCTCTCTCTCTCTCTCTCTCGCTTTCCGCCACAGTCACAGTCGCTCTCGCCATTCATTGATCATGTTATCATCAAATTTTCTCCTGGCTCCTTTCGCTTCGTGGTAAAAATGAAAATGTTTTGCGCTTCCTTTTATTCGGGCAAGCTCCGTATTTCCAACCGTTAAAATGCAAATTCGCTGTTAAGCCAATCTCACGTGGCCACATCTATGTATTTGTTGTTGGTCTTGGAAATAACGCCAAACGAAATGATGCAGTGAAACCGAGCAAGAAATAAAACAGTAGACGAAATGAAGCGCAGTTCCACATTCTCATTTGAATATGCTCAAGACTTGTGTTTGTCACACACACACACACACACACACACACATTCGGCTTACGACAAACAAAGAGGAAAACAAATACATTCAAGATTGGTTGATTCGTTTTTTGTTTGCAGCTTGTGGCTCTAAAGCTGGTTTTTCTACTGCTTCTTTTTGTTAGATTTTCTTTATTTCTTTGTATATTCCGGATGGTGCCTTATACGGCCAGCGAATCTATTTTAATATTTTAATATAATATTAATTCCGTTTAATCTTTGTTTATGCCGTTGCAAACGGGCTGCGCTAGTGGTGTTCGTCGATACAATGACACGAAATGACTATATTCGTTGCCTATCATGGCATTGGCCCTTTTTGTAATCCTTTAAGCTTTAACCCAGTCTTTTAATGCTCGCGCGCTAGAGCCATGCGATACAAATAGAATAAAAGAACACACACAGAGAAAAAGCGAGTAGCGAAAACTTGAAACGTAACATGAAAACACGAGGTATAAGAGTTGAAAGAAATAACAAATAATCAACAAAAATTGGACAAGAGGGATGGAAATAGCCAATGCGATACACACAGAAAAAGTGAAATAGTGAGAAAATGGGCATCATCTCGGGCAATAATCGTCATTATCATCAAGCAACGGGCCAAACGATATAAATAACCGTACAAAAATGTTTCACGTCAACTTAACCCCGAAAATATTATGATAAGAGACCATGAATAATGCCATCAACAACAATAACATCGGGCACAAATGAAGGGGCAAAAAATGGAAAGCATAAAAGCTCATTATAACAGGGATGTGCTTCACTCTTTATCGCTGCACAAAATGATCTCTCTCGCTTTCACTCTTCCCATTCTATGTGTGTGTTGTTTTTATCTCACTCGTGTCGAACGATGTCCGCTTGCAGCGCAACAAACAAATACAAATTAATGTTATGGATACGGAGTAACACGCATTGATAAACTCAAACAATGCATCAGCACGCAATGAAAGTCTGTCGAACAGGGCCGAAGGTAGTAACAACGACAACAATGGACGAAAATAAAATCTGTAGCTACATGAGGACCGATCACACATTTTTTGTTTTTTTTTTTTCTCGATTCACTCAAAAGATTATATAGTTGACGATGTCTTTTTTCTGTATTACATTTAGTTTTAGATTGGTTTGGTTTTAGCTGAAATTAATATCATATGAACGACGAAAAAATAACCTGTATGAACCAACAATAAACCAATCCGATTTAGCTGAAATCCGCTCAACACTCACCACAACCTAACATAGATAATGATATAAATAGCTGCATTTTGTTCAAAACCTTCTAAAAAATCCGTACACCACATAATCAAAAACCGAATAAGTATTCGAAGATGAGTGTTTCTAAATTTTAATAAAATTCTCCATCTTCCTCTCTCTCTCCCTCCCTCTCTCTCTCTCTCTCTATTAAAAACTCGATATAATCAAAACCAAAGAAGCAGTGCTAATTTAGCACATTTATCTTGTGTCTTAATATTTAGGCAAATGTTTAATGTTACTGTTCACGTGCAATGGGCTACTTAAGACTCCTTCCGCTCAATGTCAATTTCGATCGTTTTTATTTCCATTCGGTGTCGTATGATCGACTTTAATTTTGTCTTGATTCTTTGTCAAATTGGTTTGTGGTCTAATAATAAGTACTTGTGTTTTGGTGTCGTTTCTCCTTCCATTTTGGCCAGCTGAATTTGGTCATGTGAAGAGAATCCCCATTTTTTGGACACTGTGTGGTGAATGTTTCTCTTTTTTCGGTTCCAGCCGATAAGCCGGCACCGCATAATGGCTTAAGCAAAGTGTGCATAGAGAATGTGATGCAAAGCAGCAAAAAAGCGAAACATTTAAAAGTCAAAACCGTGTGTATGTTTGTGCTTGCTGTGCAAAGTTCCGAGGTGAAACCAAAAAGACAAGAGGAAGAGAATGTGAGAGAGATAGATAAAGTGTATTCCAACATGTTTCTGGCTAATATCGTTGGAAAAATATCCTCACAGCAAAATTTTGACGATAATATGCCGTACATTGTAGACACATATATGCACACAATATATTGCTGGCTGAACATGACCAGCATTAGCCAACACCAAGCATTAGCCAACACCAAGCAAGAGTCTTACTTTTCAATTAGACATAATAATTTTCTATAAACGTAAGACCAACTTTTACGATTTAAAAGCCTCCATTTATTGGTAAACATGTCACATACAATGCATGAAACCGAAATTAACAAACTTTCATAAAACCATTTTCGTCGTGCAGAATAGTAGAAGCGACAGCAATGGTAATGGCATCAGCAGTCGACACCCTACACGAAATTTTCAAGAGTCAAGCCCGAAATTTATATTTCATTTTCATACGATGTCGCGCTCGTACCATTGTGGCACCCGACCAAAACGAAAAATGTCAAGCCTTCAAGCACGTTATAATGTGCAACTGGATTGGGCTCGCAATTTGGTATAGCGGTCACATAATCTCTCGGTTTCTCTCTGTATTTTTGTCGGTTGGACGATAAGAAAACGGGTGCATAAACACTCGAGTGTCGGTCCAAAGTCAAAATCGATCATTCATTCCATTGCATCGCATTTTGAGCGAAGCGCTTCAAGCCGTTTACGTGTTGCAATGAGAAATCCAGCGAAATTTTTCCCTGTAAGCATGGCGAATATGGCATGGCATTCACACAACAACACACCGATAAATGTGATAGTTGACTGTATGCAATTCATCAAACTACCTTCGGAACATCGCTCATCCCATTCAATGGAAAACTTTATCTTATTTCTATGTATCGCTTTCAATCGTACCAATCCACCTTTTTACCAAAGGCGATTCGCATATTTGGATAGTAGCGCAGTCGAAGCAATCTATTTAATCGGTCGAATTCCATCGATAATATGACATCATCGCCACATTTTGCATTTTACAGCCATAAAATCAACTAACCGAAACATTTGAAAATATCACATCTTCCAACACAGGGTCAACCATACAAAACATTCAAACAGATACAGAACACACAAACCAGACACTCAGACGCATACACTATAATACTTTCATTTTTTGTCTTTCTTTTTTTCTCGTTCTCCCATGTTCTAATTGCAACAGAGTCGACTGCGATGACAATGCGAAGCCTGCGAATTTGGCCAATTCAGCGGTACTGAAGCTGCTCGAAGAAGAAGAACAACAAAAGCAGGCTGGAGGTAAGCGCACGAACTTGTTTGGCCCATTCATGGAGGCCCCTCCACACAACAAAAAGAAAAATAACACGAAATATCTAAACGACTGACATTTCAACAAATGAAGTTGTCTCAAACGCAGAACATTCGATATGATTATAACTCGAATTTTGCTTATCTGTCTGTAATCACGAGTCTCGCTCTCTCTGTCTTGTTTTCTATCGTTCGCTTGGCAAACTTTTGCAAATTGTGACTTTTTCAGTTTTTGCCGCCGTTTTTTTCCCTCTCTTTGACTCGACTCACTTAATTACTTCTCATACAAAAGTAAATCAATTAAAATGGAAGACAACTGGAACAAAAACGCAAACAAACGAAGGAAAATGAAACGGAGCAGAAGGCAGAGAAAACCTTTTAAAATATTGAAGATATTAAAGATGAAAGATTAGCATGGAAAAGTCTCATTACAGTGAAAATGGCGCTCTGTCACTGGTGCAATTCGTTTTCTTGCTCTCTCTCTCTCTCTCTTTCTCTCTCTCTCTCTCTCTCTCTCGAATCATTGTCGCCGTCCCAAGTAAATATAGGGAAAAATATCAGCTAATGTGCTGCTCATTTGAACGTGACAACAATAACAATATTCCATTTTTTTCAGTACCACTATGCAGAAAAAGAATCGTTTTGCATCAACTGAACATTGCGCTTTTTAAGCAATAATAAGCTTAAACATCTGTTCACAGCTTTACTTTGGCACAAATCTATGGGTGAGATTGAGAGTAGTGTATGTTTGATTGACTTTGTTACGAAAGAGAAGAGCAAGTTTCTGTCGACTTAAAAATGGTTAAAAGCGAGTATGTTCGTTTTTAGCGGGTCCTCGCGGTTTTTCACGGTTTCCGTGGAACTGATAAGAGAAAACAACTTGGTGTCTTCGGCAAAGTTGTAGCACTCAAGGTCTTCTATAACATCGCTGAAGACAGTTATCTCTTATCTCTTATCAGTTCCGCGAAAAGCGCGAAAAATGATAAGAAAAAAAAAGTTCTATATAAAATTTGCTTTTTTATGTGCGCGATTTGCGCGCAACTGATAAGAGATAAGAGATAACTGTCTTCAGCTTAGTTATAGAAGACCTCAAGTACTACAACTTTGCCGAAGACACCATGTTGTTATCTTTTATCAGTTGCGTGAAAACCATGAAGACCGCGGAGGCTAAACGGTACTACAACATACTCTACTTTAACGCCAACAGAATCATCAGAAAACATACTCGCCTTTTCAAAAATATAAATCGAAGAAAAAACATACTCCACTCTCAATCTCACCCATAGAAATGAACCCACATCGAATCATTCGTTGTATAAAAAAAAATTCAAATCGTCAAACGTAAGCTGGCTATTTCCATGTAAATGTTTTTTTTTTTCAACAATGATTTCGGGTCATTTTGGTCGATGAACACCAAATGAACGCTTATTTGTTTTGTTCAATATTTCAAATTCACCTTTCAGAATAATAAAAAAAGATTGTCCATATGTACATGTTCAATTTCAAATACTATAAAAAAATGCAATATCATTGAAATATTTAACTACCTGAATATTTGTCAAAATTTCGATAAATAAGACTATGAAATCGATACATGTAAAGATTTGAATGAAAATATCATGTTGTGACTGTAAATTTGTGCATGTGTTATATGAATTGTAATTCATGTCGTTACGGAAGAAAATTGATTTTCTTTTCTTCTTCCGAATGAAAGTTTTACTTTCGCATTTCAAATAAAGTGGGAACGATGAGAGAGTTTTGCTTTGAGCTCATAGAAAAGTTTCCATTACAAAAATGTGCTGCGCACAGTGAGGTTCGAATAACTGCAAATGCAATTTGCACAGAATTAAAAAAACATGAAAGAGAAATTATGGGGAAAAAAAAACTCAACTACAGAAAAATGATTCAATAATGGTAGTAATAATAAAGCTTTCCATAAAAAGAAAGAGAGCAAAAAAGAATGAATGGAGAAAAAAAAAATCCGGACGCTGTGACGTTGCACGTTGTGACATCGCAAAAGAATGTTAATAACTGCGTTTGCATTTAAAGCGATAAAGTGTTTAATGAAACGTATGCGTTTCTGTATATTGCGCTTGCCATCCGTTAGAGATTTGCATTTCCATCAATTGGGTAGAAGTTGCCAGCGTAGTACATAACAATTCCATGCCAACGATAGCAGATGAATTCATTCAGATGTGCATCCTTTTTACAAAACTTTTCATTGCGCGCCTTCATTAAGCTATTACATTTATACCTCAAGATAGGTTTTGGTTCGTGTGTTTTTTTCCTCTGTCTCTGTCTTTCTCTCTTGACGGCAATTACAAACAGATGAATAAAAATTTCCGCACGACAAAAGAACTGCGTATCCATTTCAAGTTGAGGCGAAACATTTCTTCGTGCTCATCCATAGGCGAGAGAAAAAGAGAAAGCAAGATGCAGAGATCGTCGTTCATCGTGTCGTTGCACGATGTAGAAAAGTTTGCATTAATCTCTCAAATTTATTACCGACTCAAGGTATGATTGCATAATAACTCTGACTCTTGCACACGATCCCGAACGAGGCGATGCAATGAAAGAATTAAATGGAAAAACAACATTCGTACACAAAAAAAAAAAAAATCAAAATGCACACGGAGATGGATTGAAGCAAGTGAGCGACCTAGTGAGCGAGAGCAAAAAGAACGAAAGAAATGAGGCAAAACTCAAAGCGAAAGAATAGGAAATTATTCAAACTAATATTTCAACTGAAGGAACTCTCCGTGTTTTTTTTTTCTTCTCTCTTTTCAAACGAAGATAGACAGAGGCAGAATGAGAGAGAATGCAAGAGGAAAACAGAAAAAGAAGAGATCTAGAACAAAAGACGCAACGAATGAATGATTTCGAAGCATTGTGTGCAATACAGTGTGGACCCGGTTCACATACACTCACGCTCCAAAGCATGCACGAAGCTTTGTTCTTTATTTGTTAAATCATTTTATGAAGTAATATTTAATTTAAATTTAATAATAGACGTCGTTTGAAGCGTATAAAACGAGAGCTTACTGAAGGAAAATATTTAATTTAAAAGTTGAGCACACGGCACATGATGAATATTTAACTTGTTCCCGGCTCTTTTTTTCTCTCGCTATCCTACTTCATATTGCTTGTGTCCTCTTATTCAACTATTTTCGTGTGTCTTGTGTTTTGATGTAAATGGGATTTTTCTTAATATGAGGCTCCGTATTGTTTATTGCATGGGCGCTGAGTTTTCAACGAAGAAATAGTAAGAATTGTTGGCAAAAAAGAGAGAACCGGATTACAAATGTTCAAACGAAATGCATTCATGTGACACACTCATTAATTGATTACGGATTACTGAGAATGTCAATGCAATGAGATAAATGTTATGGAGTAAATGTTGGCATGAATGGATGAATGAATACATAAACATGAGACTGGCAACCGACAGATTTTATTGCATTGAAATAACTTAACGGTTCAACAATTCCGTGCAATTTTAAATAACTGGTTCAAGCGAGAACGGCACCAATCCTAATGTTTCTAGCAAAACAGAAGAATATCTGTAGCTGCGACAAAGAATTTACGATATCTATATGATTTTTTTCTCTCTGTTTAAAATTCACAAACGGCAAATATTCCAGCATTAATGGAAAATGTCGTTCATGTGCTCACTTTGTTCTGAACAAATTTTAGCGTACATTAATTATATCAAGTGATGCATCATTCAAATTGCAAGTGAGTAATTTCATGCTTGAAACAACATTTATAACGACACTTTTGTGATGTGAAATGCTTCTGAAATTCTTTGTAAAGTTCTTGATATCCTGACGCTTACATTTTTTTTTCTACTCCTCTGTGCACGGATTGAAATAACAATCATGAGCTTTAGGCAAAATTGTCGGAAACTGTTTGGCAAATTTATATTTCCTTTATTTCGATGAATATTTGATGTCTGATCAGTTGAACGACAGGTGTTTTAACTCGTCCGAACCAATACAATCCAAAATACTGCAAAGGATGATGGAATATAGGACAGAGAAAGTCTAGGGGAATATCACGCTCCTGAATCTTGTGAGATATTTGAGATATTTGAAATAAACATCAATTGTATGACATATTTTCGAATATTTCGAATAAATAAATCAGATTTTTGTGGATTTTGGAGATATTTGAGATTTTTTGCATTAAATCCGAATAAATACATTTAAATATCATTCATAATCACAAAAACCCACAATATTCCGCCGTATTCACAAATATCAACCATATTTCATACCACAGATTCTTAGAGATAAATTGGATTTTTTTGAAATATTTGAAATAATTTAAGCGTGATATTCCCCTAGGAGAAAGTAAGATAAGGCACACTGTTTGCTTTCGAATTGAATTTTTAAATTACATCAATGTACCCGTTGAAATTGAATCTTTTTGACGTCTGAACACACAACAGCCGCAGATGAAAATACAGCTATGTGCTATGTTTTCTTTATGTTGTACATACGGATACAAATAGAAAAAATATTATAAAAGAGAAAAAAAAAATGTGTGAATTTTTCGGATTTTCTTTGCTCTCAAAATCCTGTTCATATAGTTAAGAGGCTAACGTTGTGATAGTGCACGGTCACACAAACCGTTTTGTTGCTTTAACGTTCAGTGCTGCTTCAACATATTTATATATGTGATATGATTGTGATAAAAAGCGGAAAGACAAATGGCCTAAAGTATGGGTATCATCACACATTTATTGTGATTGTTGTGTCTGCAAAATGAAGGGAACGATAGAAGAAAAATAAAATGCGTAAGCATTTTTGTGCACTTATTCCATTCAATAACTCTTTCCTGCAGCCACATCGGAGGCAAAAACGTGCAATCAAACCGAAAAAAGGTCAACATTTAATATAAAATATCGTGTATAGACATAACATTCAGTCACCCAGAAGGATCGATGAAAACGGACTGCCTATCTCTTTTCCTTATTCTTCCGCTAGCTC